GAGGACAAAAGGATATAAAATATATAAACAATCATGAATCAACATAATTAAGAAGGTGAACAAAGCTACAGCTGTGAATCGGACTTGTATGCTTTCACTCTACTTATTCAGTGTGTATAGTGAGCCAATAAACCTACAATCTGCACATGTCATCATCTTGTTTCCTGAAAGGGAAGACGAGTGGCTGCAACTACTGATGAAAAAGAAAGACTACGGTCTGCAGGGTGGATTGTACCTCAACCTAAAGAAAACTAAGAACCTCATCACTGGACCAATGAGCAGCATCATGATCAATGGAGAAATCCATGGAAGCCATCAAGGATTCCTTTGGATTGGATCCACAATCAATAGCCACGGAAGCAGCAGTCAGGACACGAGATGTTCTTGCACGGGGCAAACCTGCTGCAAAAGACCTCCTGAAAGTGTGGAAGAGCAAAGACGTCACGTTGAAGACTAGGGTGTGCCCAGTCCACGCCATGGCCTATTGACACATTTCATATGCATGTGAGAGATGGACAATGAAGAAAGAAAACCGAAGAGGAGTTGCTGCCTTGTTGGTGAAGAATACTGGAAATACCACGGATGGCCAAACAATGACCCAATCGGTCCCAGGAGAACTGCAGCCTTAATGCTCCTTGTCAGCGAGAATGGCCAGGCTTGATCTCAAATGCTTTGATCATGTTTTCAGAAGAGGCCATTTCCTGGAGAATGATATCAGCCTTGGGATGGTGGAGGGTCAGTGAAAAACAGGTAAAACCCTGAAGATAATGGATTGACAAGGCAGGTGCTGTGATGGAGTCAAGTACAAGAATTGTGAGGATGGTGAACAACCTGACAGTCATTCTTCTCCTTGCTAGGAGTCAGAGCAAAACAGATGGCACCAAACGACACAACAACAGCAACACCACAATTCAAATGGAGAATTGTTTACTTATTTATTCATTTATTTTTGGTCTCCCTTTCTCAATGCCCACCTCTTACACTGCAATTTCATTGCGGAAAAGTTAGATATGATATGGATGAGTCACAGCATTGCCTTAAAAGTGACCTATTTGCTATTTAACCAATTAAAGTTGTTCATAAGGATGAAGAAAAACCAAAAATGAACTCACTGCCATGGAGTCGACTCCTACTCGTTGCAACCCCATCTTGGGTTTCCAAAGCCCTAAACTCTGCCCAGAGATTAGGCTCACCCAGTCTTCCTCCTGAGGAGTAGCTGTTGGCGTTGAAGCACCAGCCTTCGGGTTAGCAGTCAAACACCTTGGGCATTACACCACCACAGCTTCTCCATGAGGATTCCAGCCTCAAATCTGATGGGGCCCTTCTACTGTATTGTATGCAGTGGCTGTGGGCCAAATATACTCAGTGTACTGCGGGGGGTTTTTGGCTGAAAGTTGGATGGCAAAAAATAGAATGATATCAC